TCTAATGACGAATTGCACAAACGTCATTTATGATAGAACAAATCAAATAATTTTGTGCAACTTACATATTAGAATTTCAATTATATTCTGTCATTATTTTGACAGGGTAAAATGTTTTAACAAATTAAAACAGTCTACCGACCTTTTCTATATTCAACCTCTGATTTTTTTTTTTTTTTTTTGCACTTATATGATAAGAAGTCAACTAGTAGTTGCCAATATCTAATTAACTAATGACGGCTACAATGCATTGTTTAACGTATGTATTTAGCTATTTTTTTTTTTTTAATTTACAAGAAAGATTATAGTCACTGTATTAATGTGCATTCTGGGTGAAGGTCGCTTACTCGCTTTAGCTTGTGACGTTGGTCGACAGGAGACCAGGGGCGGATCCATAATAGAAGAAGTGAGATCATAAAGAGTTAAACCAGTCTAGATTGTCTATAGTTAGTACGGTACGGCTATTCCTCCTACTAGTGCTTAGTAGTCAGATCTAAGGTTTTGTTCGGGGTTGTAATTTTGGATTGGCTTATTTTCGTTTTATAAAAAAATATTTTAAAACAAAACATCTCAAGCAAAATTAAAACATTGATGAAGATAACTCTGTTACCGGCCATCCGGGTGCGGAAGAGCCTAATTTTACTAAAAGTTTAATGCGTCTAATTAGTCTTAAGTGGTTAATCTTCATTCTTCATTAATTCTATTTTTATGCCATTATATATATTATTTATATTATATAAGCGAAAACGATTTACAAAAATTACAATGACAATAAGTGAAAGAGGAGCTAGAAAGAAGTCAAAGAACAACACCCCAAATTATTGTATTTTGGTGTCCTTAACTTGCCTATCATTATCCCTCGACCAACTTGGATGCATGATTTGCTCAACGTTTGCATGATATGTTCGAGGACCTCAATTGGTTTAATTTGTCAACGTAGTGATGAGGAACGTTGGGATTCATTGGGCAATTTAATTATGTCGTTCACCAGGGTCCACATAGCATTGTGGACCCTGGATCAAAACGACGTTGTTTGATATTTAAGTTTTAACAGACTTGTAACTTTTCGTTTATCTTGTCTCAACACAAATTTTAATTTATTTGTGTATAGAAACTCATAACACGAGATTTGTTTACGCTTAATGTACATAATTGCATAACATGTTTTACAGAAACGCATAACACGAGATACATACACTGATACACATGTTTTCTATTTTACTTATTCTCAAATCTGATTTATGTAAATAATTTATGTTCTATAAGTACATAATTTTATAATACAAGACATAAATTCGTAAAATAAGACACACAATATGTGTTGTGTTATACAACTACTAATCAATTTCAGGTACAGAATCTTTACGCTTAATGTACAGAATTGCATAACATGATGTACAAATACACATAATATGATATACATACACATGCTTTATAGTTTAAAAAAAAAAAAAAAAAAAAAAAACTTCTGTAACACGAACTGAACAACAAACAATCGCCATTAAAATTAAAGTTCAAAACGACGTCGAACTGGACCAGGGTCCACAGTACACTATGGACCCTGGTCCATGGTATAACGATTGGATTCATTGATGTTTGGGGCAATATTGACCTTCCTGATTCTAAGGTCGCCTTATTATTGTACAACTGGCGACATTCACTGTGAAATGCACTAAGGTAGTGATCTACATTCAAGTACGCTATTCATCAAATTCAACTTGTGGTCGGTTGCCCGTGGAGTTTCCGGCGGGATGTTAGGTGTGGTGGATGTGCTGTGTGGGGTTTGCTTATGTGGGGAGGGGTGTGTGCGTTTGAATAAGTCGGCGTGTTTCCATACTGCTGTGTGGTATGTGCAGACTACTGGCATTGAACCTTTCTCATATGTTGTTTTTTGCTTTTGTTATATTTATTCTGGTTCTTTTATTCATAAACTTTTGTATATATGTTGTTTTTTGCTTTTGTTATATTTATTTTGGTTCTTTTATTCTTAAACTTTTTTTTATTTTTAAATGCTATTGACTTTATTATAATGTAGTATCTGTTCATATACTTTCTCAACCTACTGAAAGTCAATAACGCCTCCACTGAGGCTTGAACTCACAAACTTCCAAATGAAAATTCAACTTGGATACCATTAGACCACATGGTCTTGGTAAATTTTTGTATAGCTTTAATTGCATGCTTGTCAAATTAATTGAAATATGTCTTTTTTTTGAAAACCAAACAACCAAATTTCACTATGTCTTTAATGATGTTTTTAATTAATTCAATTTTTATTTAAAAGTTTAAAAATTTATTATTGATAGTGATATGAAACTTAAGATTATATTGTTCATAGTATAATGTCATATTATTTTAGAATATGTCATAGAAGTTCAATTTGATTTTTATTAAAATGTCAAATTTTAGTTCCATTACAATACAAAAAACTAAAAAAAATCAATGTGTGCGCTATAGTAGTTGAGTGTGTACCCAGAGCTATTAATTGTTATACTTGATTCATTAGTGACTTCCCAGCCCTACAGTGTTTTGCACACGCACAACTGAAGTAACGCACCCATCCAGAAATTAAAATCTAGATGTGTGCGCTGCAGTTGTTGGGTGTGTGCTCAGATCAGCTGCATGGTAACATTTTTTTATGATTTTGTGCACTTAATTTGTTTGTGCTTGGACAGTTTTTGTTTTGTGCATTAATCTTCGGTATTTGCAGGAAACAATGTTGGAGAGACTCCAGATGTTGTGGTTGCTATCTCGTCGACCAATGAGTTTGTATCACCACCTGTTGTTGTGTCTCATCCTGCCCAACCAGACCCGCCTTTGGACGTTTCAGACGATGAGCTTACTGCGGATGACTTAGTACTATTCCCGGCTTTGAAGATTTGTGCCGCTCCTAAGCATTTAGTCGCACCAATGAAGCGATTTAATGCTTGTCAAAGGAAAGCCGTGGTTGAGAATAACTGAGATTGGTCTAGGGGAAATCTTGAACTTACAAATCAACGATATTCCAAAGCGAATGGCTAGATGGTTGCTTACTTTAATGCTCCGACCACATACTTTAAGATTCTTAAAAAAAAATAAAATTAAAAGACGTCATTAAGTCACGCACACACCAGAACACTACTGGAAATTATGGAATTTCCCCTGAAAGTGATCTTAAATCAAGTCGAAAGCCTTGTTCCGACCACTTTTAGTATCCGAAAAAACCTTTGTTGCTATTTCTGATCACTTTTTGCTTTTGACTTGATTTAATATTACTTTCAGGTGGTCGGAAATTCCATAATTTCCAAAAATCAAATAAAATAAAAACCCATGCAACATGCCATACTTTTACACATGCCAAACAACACCCACGGGCAGAATCAGGATTTGTTGGTGCCGGAGGGGGGGGGGGGGGTGTCAAACACAATTTGAGAGAATAATAAAACATATTAATAATTTAATATTTATTTTGCATATTTCAAAATACGTCATTATATTACAAATCTACTAAAATTTGGAACGTCTTCTAAAATTCAATGGCTCAATACTTGTAAATAAATTTACTTGAGATGTTGAATTTTCATAATTCTTTCTTTTAAAGAAAAGATCAATTCTTTGTGCCTTTTTCACTTAAACTCAAACTTCTGATGTTCACAGTGTTAATTTTTTTGACAAATCAATTGAATTAAGTAAAACTATATAAAAGAAAAAAGAATAAATAGACAAAGATTAAAGTATTAAAAATTTAAAGATTTTGGTAGCAAAATGACATTTTATTATTATAATAAACACAATTGCAATGTATTTCATTTGCAAATTAAAAAAAAGACAAAAATTAAAGTAGCAGAAATTTAAAAATCTTGGTAGCAAAATGACAATTTATTATTATAATAAACACAATTGCAATGTATTTCATTTACAAATTTAAAAATTAACTAGATAGTAAATTAACAATCCACTAAGTTACCCTAGAAGCTTGTTTGGAGGGGGCAAAATAACAAATATTTAGTGAGGGGAGCCACAAAAAAAATAGAATACTAATAAAAAATAAAATTGGTTGCTGCAACTTTCACGTGGTTCCGCCACTAACAATACCCATGCACACACCATTGTAAATAATAATTTTGGTTAACAAAAACCAACGACAAGTATTTTTATATTAAAAAAAAAAAACATAAATTCATGCATACACCTAATAAAAAAGAAAACAACAACAAAAAAAGGATGCAACATCTCGTGTCCTATAACAAATAACTGAATAAGTTATAAAAACAAAACAAAACAATAAAATAATAATAATAATAATAACTCTTTCTAAGTAGTGTATGTCGACTGTCGTCCTCAGTCCTTACCATGATCCATCTATATATTGGGTCACCGGTTATGCTGTTGAGAAATATTGATCACACTCTTGGTCTATGCAATGGTATGAGATTGAGTGTTAGAAGGTTGACTAATCACATGTTGAAAGCCCAGATCATGTGCGGTACAAATGCAGGAACCAAGGTATTAATTCTCAGAATGTCACTAACACCGTAAGATCCAAGATTGCCTTTGATGCTATCCAATGCCATGACGATAAACAAAAGCCTAGGACAAACACTTACAAAAGTGAGATTGTTTTTGAAAAAACTATTTTTAACCATGGTCAAATGTACGTAGCTGTTTCAAGAGCTAGTAATTCAAGAAGTTCAAAATTTTTTATTTGTGGTGAAAATATAACATGTATAAGTACAACAAAAAAAGTTGTGTACAAAGAAATTTTCAACAATGTGTAATAAAATTATAAAACTTTTCATTTCAAATTTATTAAATCTCCAAATAATATATTCTTTACTGTATATATATTATACTATACATATAGTCGTGCATCGCACGAGTACAACTACTAGTAAAAATAATAATAGTAAGACTCTTTCTAAGTAGTGTCCTCCTCAGTCCTCACCATGATCCATCTATATATTGGGTGTAGATGGAAATTAACAAGTTAATTAAGCAGCAAGCTAGGTAGGGTGAAAGTAATGGATAACGCAGGGCTAGCGATGAAAGCTTGTCTTCAAGTCTTACTGCTTTGTTGTTTCGCTCTAGCAAATGCAAATGTCGTCAACGGCCTGAATCCAGGTTAATTACTTCCAACTACCTTAATTAGCTTCAATATCTACCTGCCCTGATTGGTAAAATAGTTAACTTATCAGTTAATTTTGACTTATTTGATTACTATTAGCTATTTAACTTGCGTTAAATAATTAATAGTGTTTGATTAATTAACTTTTTGTAACAACTTATTGTTCTAAAATGTTAAAATTCAAAAAATTACTCAAAACTGTTTTTTTTTTTATTATCAATTTTTTAAAAAAAGTCATTTTGCATGTAATACGCTATTTACATATAATCCGTTATAAACTAGTTTGACCCAATCAACTAACAGCTATTTACTAAACACCCCATATCGATGATGTTATAATTTGGTCGATCGCCCGGCCCGCAGATGGGTTCATAAGCATAGACTGCGGATTAGCAGGAGAAGATAGCTACTCCGACAACAATATAGGCGGCCTAGATTACTGGCCAGATGCAGGCTTCCTAGAATCTGACACCGGCAATAGCTCCAACATCCAAAAAAGCTACATCACAAACGACATCGACAAGCATCTATGGACAGTCCGGAGCTTCCCCTACGGGTCTCGAAACTGCTACGACTTAAGTGGCGGCTCTTCTGAACAGGTGAAAGGGAAGATGGTGCTGATTCGAGCCAGTTTCTTGTACGGGAATTACGACGGGAAGAATGATGAGACCCCCAGTTTCGAGCTTCATCTGGGAGTGGAAGTGTGGGATCGGGTGGAATTTGAAGGCCCGTTGGATGTGGTAAGGAAAGAGATCGTGCACGTCCCGTCCTCCAATATCTTGAAGGTTTGCCTTGTGAACACGGGCCAGGGGACGCCATTCATTTCGGCACTTGAGCTACGGCCGCTCGACGTCGACAACGACGACTCCTACCTCACCAATGCATCCGTCGCTATGAATGTGTCGTTGGTTCGTTTCAAACGGTACAACTTGGGTGCGGAGGATAAGCAATCAATAATAAGGTAACTCCACAATTCCGGCCTCCTTCACATATTCATGCTATATATGTTTTTTTCACTTTACTCCCTAGTCCCTAGTGTATTATATATATATATGGGAACCCGGGTCCGGTGTGGTTGTACGAAAGACGCACTTTAAGCATTAAAATGACATACTTCAAGTACACAAACTATGAACGTTGAGTACACAAACAAAACACCTTAAGAACACAAATCACCGCATTTTAAGAACACAAATCACGCACCTTAAGCACACAATAAAGCACCCTAAAAACACAAATCACACACCTAAGGTTTTAAAATGGTTCACCTTAAGTTTTCAGACAAGTCACGCACCTTAAGAATGAAAACAACGCATCTTAAGAAGGAAACCCACGCACCTTAAGTTTCAACAACTACTCACATTAGGCACAAAACTCACCCACCTTAAATACAAAATTCACGCACCTTAAAGCACAAAACCCACGCACCTTAAGCACCAAAACTCACGCACTTTAAGTTTTAAAAACTACTTACATTAAGTACACCACTCACGCACCTTAGAGCATCCTTATCAGTCGAGATTATTTCTCAGTTATTTGTGGGTCCCAGCATCCACCTCATCCTCTATCATCTCATTCAATTACAAAAAACCCTTCTCCACATCAATTTTGAGTTATTTCTCAGTTTTCTATGCACTCACCATTTAACCCACTATATTTTAATTATTTCTCTTACTTATTGGGACCACAAATATACCATACTTTGCATAAGAAATATTTTTGAAATAACTCATCCCCACATCAGCTATTAACTTTGAGTGGAGAGAATTCATGTAGAAATAACTCCTAAATAACTACTAGTGTGGATGCTCTTAAGCACAAAAGTCACGCACCTTAAGGTGCGTGGTTTTTGTGTTTAAGGTGTGTGGTTTGTGTGCTTAAGGTGAGTAGTTGTTGAAACTTAAAGTGCGTCAACCCGAAACTTACGGTGCATGGTTTTCCTTCTTAAGGTGTGTGATTTGTATGCTTAAGGTGCATGGGTTGTTGAAACTTAAGGTGCGCCATTTTAAAACCTTAGGTGCGTGATTTGTGTACTTAAGGTGCGTCGACCTAAAGATTTAGGTGCGTGTGGTTTGTGTTCTTAAGGTGCTTTGATTTTGTGCTTAATGTGCATGCATGGTTTGTGTACTTAAGGAGCGCCATTTTAATGCTTAAGGTGCGTCAACCGCACAGTAGGCTATACCCGCACCTGAACCCTTCTAGGGATGGCAATATGCCCCGTCCCCGTCGGGGATCCCCGGCCCCGTAAGGAACGGGGACGGGGATGGGGAAAAATTTCGGGGATCGGGGACGGGGATGGGGAATTTTTTAATTCCCCGGCGGGGACGGGGATACCCCTCCCCGCCCCGCCCCGTCCCGTCCCCGAATAATTATTATATATATATAATTTATTTTTT